ATTCGGAGAGCCCATTTTATGCTAAAAGGGGTAAAAACGGGTCCCCTCTGCATCTCCAGGTAAAGGATCTCAGGTAGCGGGTACTGGCAAACACCTTTCTCTGCCTGATACCCAGAAAGGTCCTGCCAGCCAAAGTCAACAATAGTGAGCTAGGTGGACCAGTGGTCTGACTCAGCAGAAGACAGCAGCATGGGACAATGGTTACTGTTGAACTGGGGCCTGAGAGGCTCAGGTTCAAATCCCCAATCTGCCATGGAAGCTCACTAGTTAACTTTGGACCAGTCACAGCCTCCAGCCCAACCTACCTCACAAGATTGTTTTGAAGACAAAATGCGGTGGGGAGCGAACCTTCTATGCCACCCTGAGCTGCTTGGAGGAAGGGTGGAACAGAAATGTAGTCAATAAATAAAGGATGGGATGTCAAAGCATGCGCTTTGAGCAAAAAGACACACACACAAGAGAGTCAGTGTGGTGTGGTGGTTAAGAGTGGGAGACCCAGGTTTGAATCTCCGCTTGTGCCATGGCTGCTCACCGGGTGACCTTGGGGCCAGTCACACTCTTTCAGCCTAAGCTACCTCGGGTTGTTGTGCGAATAAAATGGAGAGAGGAAAACTACACAAGCTGCTTTGGGTCCCCACTGGAGAGAAAGGCAGGGTACAAAGTAATTAAAAATAAAACCAGTTGCAGAGCTCCAAATCCTTCTGTTATGCAGATGAAAGGCATCCACTACCAGAAGCTGTGGCCTCCCCCTCCTTCGTGAGTTGGAGCTAGCCCTGAGGATAAGGGGAGTTCAAACTTTTTATGCTTTTACTGTCTCTTGCCTCTTTGCTCTGTCTGCAGCCAGAAGAGCTGGCAAATGGTTATTTTCTCCTCTTGCATGCAGCATAATTGTGCACAGAATTGACTGGTTAAAGTAAAAGCTGTCACAGAGTTTTATGGCTCTGAATTTTATTTTTAAATTTTTTTTAAACTACTGCTCGACTTGTATTTCGAGATCGCCTCCCCTACTGCCTTACTTCTTTCCTCAGGCCCTGGCAATTCCAAGGGCAAGTATTTTGCTTGTCGCACTGCCAACCAAAATATTTGAAAGAAATGTTTATTTTCTTCTCGAAATCGTACCAGCTGCTGCCTTAACTGAATAAGCCCATTTAGAGGTAAGAATTTCACCATTGTGAGTGCTGAGCCATGGGCCCTCACACTCCAAATATCTGACCCGATCTATCAACGGAAATGGCAGCACTTTGGATCAGGGAACTGGGAAACAAAGAATGCATGTTGAACAAGTCTGAGTCCCAATGGGTATAATTTCACAGTCTCCTGGGGCTGACCACTCTTTCTGCCTTGTTGGGGGGAGTGGAGGTCAGTAGCATGAAAAAGGGTGTCATGTTTGCTCCCATTGTCCGTTGTTGTTTTTTTAATTGTGGCTGCCGGTGCTTCCTCTCTTTGCCAGGCAGTGCACAAGTTGGGTTTCAAGCTTTGCAGACCCTTTCCAGATCAAACAAACCCCGAAGCAACAAAAGATGGTCTCTGTTTCCATAACAGCCTTGGAGAAAATCAAGGTCTTAATGGATTCCCAGAAGCAAAGGAAGGAAACTGGGGGGGGGGGGGGTGTCTTTGTTTTTCTCATCTGGAAGTGAAATGAGTGGAGGTCACAGTTCAGTGATGGAGCATGTGGTTTGTGGGTAGGGATACATTGTGGTGTAGAGGTTACTGTGTCAGATGCAAGTCTGGGAGAGGCGGGTTCAAAGCCCCACTCAGCTACGAAGCTGGATGGGTGACCTTGGAGATAGTCACAGTCTTTCCAGACCAAGCCCCCCCCCAGCCAATGACACGCCAGTAGTCTTGACTGGCAGCCGACGGGCCAATGGCTGAGGGAGCGCATGCAATCTCGCCACCCCATAGGACAGAAGCTACTCCAAATATAAGGAGAGATAAGATCTAGGCTGCCCTCCTTGGCAGGGCCCCCTCATGTGTAAAGTGGATCATAAGAAATGTCCTCCAAAAAAGCAGGTATGTTCTGTCTCCTCTGACAGCCCAGTAATGAGTGCATGAAGCCAGGCTACCGGTATGCCATCAGGTGGACAGATAGATAAAATTATGGTTTGAGAAGGACAATACTGGTTCTGTGTGGGATGCGAGCGCTAGATGATAAGCGTCAGCTCCAGACGAACTAGACTGATGGATCTTAACTAGCTTTCTCAATTACACACAGATCCAAACTTTCTCTAAAGAGCTAACTCACACAATGTCCTTCTCTGTTGTTATTTTCACAACAACCCTGTGAGGCAGGTTATACTTGAAGGGAGTTGCTGACTTCCCCAGTGAGCTTTATGGTTTCCCTAGCTAGGGTTACCATCTCTGGGTTTGGAAATTCGTGGAGATTTGGGGTACAGCTCGGGGATGGTGAAGTTTAGGGAGGGGAAGGACCTCAGTGTGCTACAATACCATAGAGTCCACCCTTCAAAGCTGCCATTTTCTTCAGGGGAATTGTTCTCTGTAGTCTGAAAATCAGTCATAATTCTGGGAGTCTTGTGAACAAAAATTTTGGTTTGTGAGCTATTGGTATTAAAGTTGTGAGCGAGTGATTTGGCTACTGCATAAATTAGTTTGCTCTGGAGCCATCCTTCCTGAGCTAAGACAAATATGTGTGAGCCGGAGGCTAAAAAACTATGAGCTGGCTCACACTAACTCAGCTTAGAGGGAACATTGGTTGGCAGCCCTACCTTGGGCTCAAATCGACACTGGTGGTTTTGTTGTTGCAAAGCTTTTGTGGTTTAGAAGAGATTGCACGCTGGCTTGACTACGACTTCAGAAAGGCTTTGGTTTAGCAGGACAAATGTGGACAATCACGGCCTGATCAGGGACAGGTGCAAGAACACGGGTGAATAGGGCCTGCTGAAAGCTATCACACGCTCATGCACCACGATCAAGCCATGCAGTGTGGTCCTCAGCATCCCACAGTGAAGACAGCAGGCCTCTGCAGGACTGTGTGGGTTGACCAAAGAGCTCCAGAGGACTCAGGCCAGTCAGCCGACCAGCTGAAGTGTATGCGCCATATTCAGCTCTGCAGATTATCCAGATCACAACCGAGACTTTGGCCAGCTCTGGGGCTGGCAACAGGATGACCTGCGGAGAGATGAACTGCTGCTGAGGAACCCAGCCCTCTTACCTTGTATCTGACTCTGTGCTTGCGTTCCAAAGTGACCAGGTGTGCCCAAAGATCCTCGTGGGTTGGGGGTGGTGGGCGTGACTCTCATGGAGTGTCGTAGCCTTTCCAAATCCCCAAAGCGATCAGGAAAGGGTTTGGTTTGTTCTTCAAGCTTCTGTCTGTGCCCTGCAATGTTAAGTAGGGTAAAGATTTTTTTCAGTGTAGTATCAGTGGAGTTATAAAAGTGAATTTAAAGAGATTGTTTAAAGAGACGCAGGCTGCAATGCCATAACCATTAGTCTTGACAGTTCCATTGAAACTGGGGGTGTGGCTCAAGACAATCCTGATTAAATGTGTCTATGAATGGGATTTACTGTGATCAGCTTCTGCCTAATCATTTCCCAGAGACTTGAAGGTAATGAAATAAAACTAATGATTTGCTAGTGGGCTTGTGCACACCCCCCCCCACCGCTCTACTATAATCACCTCAAAATATTTGGCAGGTTTGGGATGCCTCCAGAAAGTGTGCACAGGTTCACTAAGGTTAGGGACCCTAGTCCACGCCAACCAGGAGCAGCTATCCTGGATCTCTAAGAAAAGGTCTTTCTCTACCTGAGATACTATTTTTAAAATAACCCAAGTCGCCAGAGATGGAACCTGGCCCCTTTAACATGTAATCCATGTTCTCAGGGGTCATTTCGTAGAAAAAGAGGTGCAGGAGCTCATTAGCATAACTCATTAGCATAACTTATTTGCATATGCCACACACCCTGGCATCACCGGAAGTGTGTCAGAAGGCAACACCCACCACTCAGGCTCCACTGGACTGTTTTGGATTGCTAGCTATTGGGGGGGTGTGTGTGTGCAGATCTGTCCTCGCAGAAGAGGGAGAGCTTGTACCTGAATAAAACCTGGTCTTAAAGGTGCCACCGGCCTGTTTTGGACCAGGGGGTGGGACGGGGGGCTCTGCAGCTTACCTGGCTGCTTTTTGCTCTGACAGAGGGCTGCTGGGAGCAGGGGGTGGGGCTTGTTGCATGTGCCCGCCCCCTGGGCTCTTTACTGCCAGAGCTCCGCTCCTGTGCGCTCCTGCAGGAAATGACCCCTGCATGTTCTATTCCATTGAACCAGTTTGGCCGGGGATCCTGGAGGGTTTTTTGCCATCTTCTGGTCACGGAACAGGGCTCACTGGGTGCGTGTGTGGGTGTTTTTTTGGGTGTGTGTGTGTGAATTTCCTGCATTGTACAGTGGGTTGGTCTAGTCTAGATGATCCTGGAGGTCTTTTCCAACTCTATGATTCTATAAACCACAGACTCTCAGCTGCTTCATTAAAAGCTGTATTGGGAGCCAGGGTGGCCAACTAATCCCCCCCCCCCAACAACATCCCACTGGAACAGTTGCCAAACTTTTTGGATGCAGTTCTGTTTAGATAACTGATGCAGTTTCCAGAATTTATTTTTTTCTTTTTTGGGGGGTGTGTGTGTGTGTGAAAATTAGCATCACAATGGGCATGTTTGAGACTGTGTTTAGATATTTAGTTAGCGACTTCAGGAATTCGCATTCTGCCTTGCTGCTTAAGTCAGGTCTTTATGCTGATTCACAACAATTAAAAACAATTCACAGCAGTTAAAAACAACAGTGGAATAAAAATAACTACCCACATGTATAAACTCAGCAAAATCCATGCAGAAATGGGAGAGGCAATGAATCAAGCAAGTATTGCCAAAGGCTTCAGTAATTAAAACAAAAAAGTTTTTAACTGGCGCCTCATTGTTAATGATGCAGAGCTCTGTGCATGTGTTAAAAAGTAAAACACAGTGTCTATGGATAGATGGGATAGATGGGAGCAGGATCATGCTTGCTGGGCTTGCCACTTGCAGTGAGCTCTATGTGCTCATAAATGTACGCACGCGGGCGTTTCCACACAACCAGGACCCTGCTTTTTGCAGCACTCCTGGTGTGTGCTTTGTGGATGTGTGATTGTTGAAAATAATAATGGGGACAATGCCTCTTTGTGCTTACAATGGTGCATGCTTGCAAACATCTGCATAGAGCTTGGGTGCCTGCTGGATGAAGCTGGGGAGATCGGCTTCTGTCGGCCGCATTCGACACGGTCGACCACCAGCTGCTGATCCACCGCCTCGCCGACACCGGGATTCAGGGGCTTGCCCTTCAATGGCTTGCCTCTTTTCTCCAGGGTTGGGGACAAAGGGTGGCGCTAGGGGAGCAGCAGTCCTGTAGACACCCGCTTGAATGCGGCGTGCCACAGGAAGCAGTGCTCTCCCCGATGTTGTTTAACACCTATATGCGCCCCCTTGCCCAGATTGCCCGGAGGTATGGGATTGGGTGCCATCAATATGCAGATGACGCCCAGCTCTATCTGATGTTGGGTGGCCGGTCAGACTCCAGCCCAGAAGATCTGAACTGGGCCTTGCAGGCCGTGGCTGGTTGGCTCAGACTGAGTCGGCTTAAACTGAACCCAGCGAAGACGGAGGTCCTGTGCCTGGGTCGGGTTGGTTCAGGGACAGGGCTCCCTCCCCGGGCCTTCGATGGGCACCCCTTGTGCCAGCGGCAGAGGTCAGGAGTTTGGGAGTGCTCCTGGACTCCTCCTTAACTATGGAGGCCCAGGTGGCAGCCACTGCCCGATTGGCTTTTTATCATCTCAGGCTGATTCGGCAGTCGGTCCCCTTCCTTGACCGCAATGACCTAGCTACAGTGATCCATGCGACGGTCACCTCGAGGTTAGACTACTGTAACACTCTCTACATGGGGCTGCCTTTGTCGCAAATCCGGAAGCTGCAGCTAGTGCAGAATGCTGCGGCCAGGCTTTTAATGGGTCTCCCTAGATGGGAGCACATCCAGCCTGTGCTGAAAGCGCTGCACTGGCTGCCAATAGCGTACCGGGTGAGCTTCAAAGTGCTGGTTTTGACCTTTAAAGTCAGGGTCCGACATACCTAAGGGACTTCCTTTCCCTATATACCCCTAAGGGCACTATGGTCTGGGGCACAACATCGATTAATGATTCCAGGCCCCAGAGAGGCCTGGCTTGCTGCAACCAGGGAATGAGCTCCTGGAGGAGATCAGGGCCCTGCAGGACCTTTTACAGTTCCGCAGAGCCTGCAAGATGGAACTCTTCCGCCAGGCTTTTGAGTATGAGTTGCCACTGCCACCACCACCAATGATCCTCAGCAACAACGAGGACGGCCCTCTAGGAAGACCGTACTACTGTATGAAGCCAAATCGGTACCGCTGAACGCCACCTTGCTCGCATTGAAGACAACTAACATTGAGCACTTTAAATTTTAATATTGTTGTTGTGTTTGTTTTTACTCTGTATTGGCACATGGTGCCCTGTTTGTAAGCCACCGTCAGCCCACGTGTGGGGAGGGTGGGGTAGAAGTTTGATAAATAAATAAATAAATAAATCCGGATGCTACCATGGAAAAGGCTCTGTCCACTGTGGCCACATGCCTTTGGAAAAAAGAATCGGACACATTTGTGTAGGACGGGCTATTAGCTACGATAGCTAAATGAAGCCTCCATGTTCACGGGATGAAAAAGTCTACCTTTAAGCCAGGTTCAGAACAATATTATTTCCTTTTATGTTTTCAATTCCACACAATCAGATTTCCTAACAATAAAGTTAATTTTAACTTAATTATTGTGCATGTACAGTGAAACCCTACTCTCTTTTTTTTGTCTCTGCATGTTGAATTTTATATTATGAATGTGAATCTGGCAGAAGGTGCATTTGTAAGGGAGAATCAGTGAATGGGAAAGGCTACCCCAAAATGTCTGAGCTTGGCCTTCTCCTTGTCTCCAATCTCAGTGGTGGAAAAAACAGTAAAAATAAAGCTGGGGGACAGGGGAGTATTCGGAGGTTAAGCAGACACCCCCACCCACCTGTTCTCCACTGCAAACACCCCAACTCTGCCCCACCCTCTGCATCGGAACTATGAGAAAAACACTGGATGTGTAACGCATTGTTCCTCCCGCAGTCAAGGGGAAAAAAACACGTTTTCAAGTTATAAGGAAGGTAGTACACACTTTCAGGGCTAATTTTGGGCAGGAACACACAAGAACGGAGTTCCGGCTGGCTCCCAAGTTGGCCACGCCCAGCAGGAGCTCATTAGCATAATAGGCCACACCCAACAGCAGAAACTCATTAGGATTGGCTACATTAGGGGTGTGTGGCCTAGCATGCAAAGGAGTTCCTGCTACAAAAAAAGGCCCTGGGTTTTGACAACAAACAAGGTAAACAGAATAAGAAGCAAAAGGTGGGTGTGGCTGGATGACCACACCTCTGGTAACACGTGCTAATGAGCTATGCTGTCAGGGGTGTGGCCCAATATGCTAATGAGTTTCTGCTGTTGGGTGTGGCCTATTATGCTAATGAGTTCCTGCTGGGCTTTTTCTACAAAAAGAGCCCTGCACACTTTAATGTTACATCTCAGTCGCAAGGCTTGTATATAATGCACTAGCTATACCTGACTGCGTGTGCTCCGTAGTCTGAGAAAACTTGACTGCTAGATGCTACTGATTTTATGACAGATCCTGAGCACCAAACTGCCATGTGGAAAACAGGGAGACCCTGAGAATGCACTTGCCTCTTAGCTGGGCATGAACCATGTGGAGCCCTGGGGGTCAGGCAGCTGGGCTCCCATGAAGCGATGAGCAACAAGCTCAAATTCACTTCTTTTTTTTTGGCACAACCATTTAAGCTATGGAAGGCCTGTGTCATGTGCAGCCATGACTGTGCAAACCTCTAGCCACAAGAACATCATAGGCAGGGCTATTTTGGGGCAGGAACGCAAAGGATCGGAGTTCCGGCTGGCTCCCAAGTTGGCCACGCCCAGCAGGAACTCATTACCATAATAGGCCACACCCAACCGCAGAAACTCATTAGGAATGGCTACATTAGGGGTGTGTGGCCTAACATGCAAAGGAGTTCCTGCTACGAAAAAAGGCCCTGGGTTTTGACAACAAACAAGGTAAACAGAATAAGAAGCAAAAGGTGGGCGTGGCTGGATGACCACACTTCTGGTAACATGGGGGTGCGGCCTAATGTGCTAATGAGCTGTGCTGTCAGGGGTGTGGCCCAATATGCTAATGAGTTTCTGCTGTTGGGTGTGGCCTATTATGCTAATGAGTTCCTGCTGGGCTTTTTCTACAAAAAGAGCCCTGAATAG